CTCATCCATTTCTTTTGATCCCTCTGTGCGGGGATGTCTAATTATCTACAGAAAAGCTTTGGGTCTCCACTCCACACCCCCCTCCCCTCGTTTGCATCAGTATGATTCTTTTGGGTCTTCTGATACCTGATACTTGATTCTGTTGACACCTCATGATCACACAGGCTGGTGTGCTTCTTCTATGTGGGCTTTGTTGCTTCCCAGCTAGATGGCTGCTTGTTTATCTTCAAGCCTTTAAGACCCCAGATACTATATCTTTTGATAGCCAGGCACCATCAGCTTTTTTCACCACATTTACTTATGCACACATTTTGTGTTTCGCAATCATGTCGGGAAGGTGATCACCACAGAATGCCAGGTTATTAGAACAAAATGTTCTTGCATTGAGGGAGTACTTGAGTGGAGGCTCAATGTCCGTCTGCTACCTTAATACTTAGCATATAATATATGTACATAGATCTATGTCCCTATCGTTATACGTAAATATATTTACATATGTATGTGCCGATATGTAGGCCTCTGTAAACGTCCTTTGCCTCCTAGTTCTTTCTTCTATTTCCTTTTACTTCACTCTTGTCCCACTATCATGTTTGACCTTTGTTTGCCTTTCAGTAATTCCTCTTGGCTACATTGCAATTGATCAGTCCCCACCAGGCATTCTACGCCCTCCTCGCCATCAATTTTAGATCACTTTTCCCCTTGTCCCTGGGTTTGTTGGCTCCCCTCTTCCCTTCCACGTCCTTACCCTCTTCCATGTCTCCCCCAAATCGTCAGTCCCATTGTTTTCTCTTTGGGATTGTTTATCCTTCCTCTCTTATATAGATAGACATGAAAAAACAAACAAACAAAAAACATATAAATAGTTCCAGGTCTTTCTGCTGACTTTTATCTTTCTTGTCTTTTAAACGACCTTTTGCTTTCTTCATGTATGATGCTCTTGATGTCATCTCTTGGTGTGTCAAATCTGTTTCTGAATTCATATGGGATATACTTAAGGTTGTACTTTGGCTCTTATGGACTTAGGTGACTTTTCTTCAACTTCAGCATGAACTTGCATGTGCATAATTGCCAGTCTATTCCACAGTTAGCTCGTGGCCTTGCTCTCACTGATGACATTGAACTTCTCTATCATCTTTTTCTAAAAATGTTTTGTAAAATTCTATCGTGCATTCACCAGTTCTTTCTTCTTTATTTTTGGCTTTCACATTCCATTCACCACTCACCAGTAATTATCAGTGCATCTTGATTGCCTATTGGGAAGCAGTCAAAAGTGAAATGAAATGGAATGCTTGAAGATTGATATCATAGGCATTTGTGTATGGACATAGACTGCTATTGGCCATGTTGCATCAGACAGTTCCATGGTCTACTCTGCTGGGAATGACACTGAACAGGCATCACATTCATTGTCAAGAAGGACATTTCAAGACCTGTCCTGAAGTATGATGTGGTTAGTGGCAGGATAGTATGCATATCTACAAAGAATACCAGTTAATATGTTTATTATGCAAATTTATACATCAACCACTAATGCCAAATTTTCTTCTGAAAGCACTAAGCTGCTTCTTAAAATCAACTTTTTTTTTTTTTTTAACATTTTATTAGTGGCTCATACAACTGTTATCCCAATCCATACACACATCAATTGTGTAAAGCGCATTTGTACATCGTTTCTCAAAAC